ATGTATTCACCCAACTTTGTTTAAGGTAATGAAGGACTGGTAGAAGAAGAATTTTCCCACAATGATATGAGTTGAGCTGACGTTCCATTGAATTTCACATAGCCTCGCGGTTCGAATCTCGCTGACGGGGTTGATAGGACCGATGCGAGGTTGAAACTGCAGTCCACTCCAGCCGAGATGAGAACAACTTTTGGGAAAGCAAGGCTATGTGAAATTCAATGGAAACTTCAGCTCAACTCATCTCATTGTGGGAAAATTCTTCTTCTACCAGTCATTCATTGCCTTAAACAAAATTTCGTAAATGCATCTTATATTATCAAATATTAGGAAGAATTTATTTGTAAATATCATTATTATTGGTTATTAATATCTTTATTTCTAATATACAGTATTATATATTAGTTATTGAAATATGCACAAATACGTGAGCCCACATGAGGTTTACTTACCTGTGCATATATGGTCTTTTGTTGATGGTCTCTCAACCATCGAATGCGCAAAGCCAACCAACCGGCATTGCCTCGTTCCATAGGATTAAAGCTTGTTGTTGAGATGCCAGAAGACACAGTTGCTGTCCGTTTCGATGCGCTTTTTGGCTCAAAGTGATCCCCATTCACATCGGACGGTGTTCTCTGCCATGCTGGACTCGAGCCATTGCGTTGATCCTGTTGTTGTCCATCAGTTTGTCCAAACTGGCCGTTTGTTTTTTGCTGTCCGCATCCGGCATCTACACAGCCACCTGCATAGGCTTGCAATCTGGCATTACTCCTGCTGCTGCTGCTGCTACGACTACGACTACTACTACTAGTACTACTACTGTAATTGTTGGCGTTGGCAGCGATGGGAACTGTTTGGTACGTGGGACCCAGGCGGGAGATGGAAAATGCCTCAGAATGTGTAGTCTGGTGTCGAAATCCGGTCCATCTGCCGACCACCAGGCACCAATCTCCTTCACGGTCTTTGATGAGCATTGCACGCTCTGGATGCTCGGCGTCAAGGCCAAACAGGCTGTTTGATGGCTTGCTCGACCGAGAGCCTGCAATGGGGCCAACGCCAGTCTCATGTGCTGCCCGGATCGCAGAGATCTGGGCAGAAAGTGAGGCGGTCGCAGAGGCTGAAGCTGGGACGGGGCAAGAGGGGAAGGAGGAGCAGGGCGTGGAGAGGGCTGATAAGGAGGCGGAGACGTCGAGGCTCAATTCGGTGTCAGTACTAACCCCGAGAAGCTGGGCTGCCCTGCCAAGGGTCACTTCAGATGACGATTCAGATGACAAATGGCTCCTTCTGGTCTGTTGAGTCGCCGAAGAAGCGGACGTTTGCGACTGTTTACCGGTGGCCAGTCTTGACGAACGGGAGGACGAAGGGGTCTTGCTTGAGGATTGGCAAGCGGATAGGTTTGCCAAGAATTCAGCCATTCTCAGTTGCGGCTTTGTGCTCCGTCTTTTTAACCCGGCCAACCGGCACAGGTGAAGGAGGCCGGATGTGTTGGAGATGGGCTGATATTGCAAGAGGGGAACAAAGATTGAGTCGTCTATTTGAAGTATTTTTTATATCGATACCAAAATGTCTGCAAAATTGGGATTAAAAAGCAGTATTTCTGTACAAATTAATGCTCCTTGAGTCGTGTAACTCAAGACCAGTATGTTAGCCTCACAAACTGTACCTCTACGGTTCGAATAGAGAAAGAGATTGTGACTAGTTGAGGATAGAGGACAATGACGTTTTGGAAATTGAGGCTTGGTGCATTTTAATTGGGAAGAAGGTAATTTTTATAGAGAAAAGTAAGTAGACTAGAGATCAGGTCGTAACAGACATGTGATGAAAACTATAATTAAATGAGACAACAGAACGATTTATGGAAAGTGTGATAAGAATAACTGCTCATAAAATACCACAAATATATTCCTGGAAATTTATATAATTGATGGAAATACAAAATATAAAAAGGAAATATTCAATTAGAAAAAAAAGAGAAAGTATGCAAATTTTAGGAAAAAAGTGAGCATAAGTATAATAGAAAAAAATTATCTAAAGGTATAATTAGAAAATTGACTGAAGAAAATGTCAAAAAATCGAATCTCTATGCAAAAAGGAAAAGCAATATCATCCAAATTCAAATCGGCATAACTAAAGTCATAATTTTTAGCGTCTCAACAAAACTCAACTCAAATCGTATTTTCTCATTACATCTCAATTTATATTAATACAATTAAACTCATGGCCTAACTCGTCTCATCTCGACTCATGGCATCTTATCTCATATAATCTCAGCTCGCCTCACTTCAATAAAACTAAAATCATCACATTTTAACTCATCTAATCTCGTCTCATCTCATAAATATAATCTTATTTTATCTCAACTCATCTTATTTAATCTCTTCTCATCTCTTCAAATCTATTCTCGTTTAATATCATATAATCTCTAGCTCAGCTCTTTTCATCTCATCTAATCTCGTCTCGTCTAGTCTCATCTCATCTTATCTTATCTCATATCATCTAATTTCATCTAATCTTAAATCGTCTAATCCTATATGATCTCATCACAACGCATCTAATATCTTCTTTTCTTGAACAAATCCTACTCACATTATCTCACCTCATCCTAGCTCATCGATTCTCAGCTCAGCTTATCTTAATTTGTATGTTCTTATTTTATTTCAGCTCATTTCACCTAGTCTCTTCTCTTCTGATTAATCTAATTTAATCTCATCTCATCTCAGCTCATCTTTTCTCATTTCATTTATTCTAATCTTAACTCATTTTACCTCATCTCATGTGTTTTTAGTTCAACTCAGTTTGTCTCATCTTATCTTATCTAAATTCGATTTATCTCATATAAACTTAGCTAATCTCCCCTCGTACAACTCATCTTATATCAACTAATCTCAGCTCATCACAACTCATCTGATCTGCTATTTTCTTATCTTATATAAATTCGTCTAATCTAATCTTAACTCACCTCATCACACTTCATTTAATCGCATCTTATCTTATAACTTTACCAATAATCTCATCTCATCTTATCTTATATTTACTTGATTCTTCTCATTTCATTTCATCTTTACTTATCTCATCTCATCTAATCATATCTAAATTCGACTTAAATCTATTCATCTCATTTTATCTCATCTCAACTTATCGCTTCTCATCTTATCCCTTTCTATCTCATCTTATATTATCACATCTCATCCCATCTCATCTTATCTTATCGTAACTTAACTTATCCTATCTATCTACTCTCTTCTATTCTCAATACATCATATCTCTTATTATTCATTTACTCTTGTATCATCTCAACTATTAATCTTTTCTTATTTTACTCCATTTGACTCATCTCATTTAGTCTCTTTTATTCCCCTTAAATCTTCTCTCATATTATCTCATCACATCTAAACTCTTTGTATCAATTCTTATTT